TAGCTGCCGAATATGCGTTCTAGAATTCCGGGCTCTGGCGAGAAAGTAAGAGAGAGGGAGTAAATGTAGGTCAGGGTACTCACTGTATTTTGTCAAATAGTACCATTTGTCGAAGCTATTGGGATCCGTGGCAATCCCTGGCTTGGAGAGAACGGCATCGGTTAGTTTCTTTATCGGCATCTCCTCTGGAGTCATTGCCGTCCTCATTTGGTTCCCGTTCTCACCCTCCTTGGGCATTAGGATGATGAATTCCCGAATCGGCCCTTCTCCCATTACTCTGACGATTTGCTGGCCGTTCCAGAGCTCACACACTTCATTCGAGGTAGAGGACATCAGCTCGGCCTCAACGACGGCACGGCTCTCCCTTGCCCTTCCGATGATAGCCTTGAGCCACGACGGGCCGCCGACTCGGATGGCACCGACGATGGCGGTGATTACGCCCAGTGGGGCCATGGCCAGGACAATGTTGTCGGCCCAACCCATAGACTGGCTCATGAACTGCGTGGTGACCCTCTCTCCAAACAGGGCCAGTAGGCTAGATGCCGCGCGGCTCAAGGTCAGCATATCTCCGCACAGATTGCAATGGACAGACTGCAGCGCGTACGGGGCCAGGTCGGAGAACAAGTTGTTGGAGAAATCATCTCCGGCATCTGCGCCGACGCATGTGACAAAGCAGAGGCCGACGAGGAGCCGCTGTAAGCTGGCGGGCAGCATTGTGGATTGAAGGACCGGAGGAGGGAATCGAAGTATCAAGGTCTAGACGGCTACTTCTCCGTTCTCTTGGGTCTTAGGGCAGCAACAATTGGAGTCGGTGACGACGGACGACGTGGGTCTGGCGGTTCGAGGGCTGGCTGGTTCGGAGTACGCTCTGTCTAATCAGGAGGCAGAACACCCGCATTCGACGACCAGGGGCTGCTCGGGGGTTCGAAGTCGAGGCTAGACTTGCATATTTGCCGTTTGCTGCGGCCCTGCTCGTTGCCCACTCGGCGTTCTCGAGCGGACGGGTGGGGTAGGCATGCTGCATGTCTCTTTGCCTGCAGCGCAAAGCGACAAATCAAATACAGCGCGGAAAACGGGCAAGTGTCAAGAGGGCAACGCGTGTCGACAGGAATGGCAACTGCCAAGGATGTCGCTCGGGGTGGGGGGGGGTTTGCGGGAGGTGGAGCTTGCGACATAGCGGCTGGTTGGTGATGCTCTGTTGCTCTTGCGTCTATATTGAATCTGTGCATGCCATCATGGTCGCTGGGCGCGGGGGTAGGAGTACCCGGCTCTGTCGTGGTACCGGATAGGGTTGTTCGTCCATCTATTGGACATGTCAGTCTTGATAAGGCAATCCGGCGCTCGTCTCAAACGTACCCATGGACTGTATGGTAGATGGAGCGGGCGAGGTTGCACCATAATGACTAAAAGGCTTCTTTAACCACTTCTTCAGCGAACCCATAATTTTTTTCACGCATATAGCTTTGGCGAGGATACTTGTTCAGGAGAAAATAGGCTATCGAAACAGCAGCGATATTGTGAAGTTGGCGGCTGTATATCGCGCGGTTGCCGCGGAGCGAAGTTGAAAGATGCAGCTGTCTGGCTTAGCGGACGCCCTGAGACGGGGCTGTGGCGCTGCGAGCACTTGGTGTAGGTCGATGCAATTGGTGAAGTCTGCATAAGCCCGCTCTGAGGTGGCTGCGCTGCGGCTATGCCTGTTGCGACGAGATATGGCATTGTGCTACTGCTGCTTCTATCGCTGATACCCTTGGCTTCCGTTGCTGATGAACGCCGTCTCGCTTTGTGGAGGCTACAATCTCACATACAATAAGGCTTCAATCGTCAGGAAGTGGGTAGAGAGGGTGGTTTAGATGAATTTGAGTCCTGGTGCCTATGATTTCTTAGTTCAATAGCTCGGCCCCCTACATGATGAGGTACTGGACGGTGGCCGTGTGCCCGGCCGCGGCGGTCTGGTAGAGCGGCCTCCGGTCCTCATTATCCTTCGCCTCCTTATCGGCCTGCTGCTCGACGAGGTACTAGACGACAGCCCTGTGCCCAGCCGCGGCTGCTCCACGATCTTTCTCTCTTCACACTGTCGTGTGACATATCCACGAGTACATTGGCCTGTGCGGCAGCTGCATTTGCAGTTCCATCCTTGTTCCAACCCATCTATACATTTCGGAAGTGTCAAGACAGCTTGAATGGTAGAATTGATATG